ATTAATAATTTAAAAAAATTATATTTTACTCAAAAGACATTTAATATCATTGTCGTTTATATGAAAAAGAAGACCAGGTTAAACATGATTAGTTTTTTTATGAATAGTTAAAAACTTATACTCCCTCCGTCCCAAAAAGATTTACACCTTTCAAAAAAATTGCGTCCTACAATCTCCTACCCATTTCTATTAAAAAACCACTTTTACCCCTTATTTTTTCAAACCCTACCTATCAAATCATACTTTTTTCCTAGTAATCTATACATCACATCCTACTTTACCCATCACATCAAGGGTATTTTTGGAAAGTCAACACAAAATTATCCCTCTCTTAATTTCAACTTTAGTCAAAACGTGTAAATTTTTTTGGGACGGAGGTAGTATTTTTTATTTCGTTCGCATAATTTTCAATAAGTTCAGAAAATCATGATTTTTTATATAAAATACATTGTTTTAAATTCATCAAATTTTAAAGATTTTCATAAATACTTTTTCATAAATGATAAATGAGACTTTAAAGGATGTCATGTAGGATGACACATGTCAACATCTTAGAGACATGAGTCTCAAATATTATAGTAAAGGATAAAGAATTGATAATAATATTGTTTTTAGTAGCTCTTAAACACATCACTATTATCTCTCTATTTAATTTTATAAACTCAACCCCATAAGCATTACGGATCGGAGTACATAATAACTTTTAATAGTTGATACACGCTTTTTTTAATTATAACGTGCAGGTTATAAGTATATACAAAAAATAAATGTTCATATATCAATATAACATACAAAGAAATAATTGTGTGAGATTATATTCTTTAATTTTCAGGTGTACACATGTTAGATGTATATTAAATACTACCTCCGTTGGATAAAAGTTCTCCATTTGACTATTATAAAATAAAAAAAGATTTAAAAAGTAAAAAAATGTTTAAATATTTTTTAGACTTATGAAAAACGAAATACTGAAGATTTTTGCTAGAGAATTGGTTCATTTGCCTTTCAAGTAAGATTAATAAAAATATATTTGTCTCCTTGCTTTTGTTTAGACCTGTGCAAACAAAGATCAACCTGTCCGGCCCGCCCTTTAAAAAGGGCAGATATGAATAACCTTTAATACCACTTAGGCGGGCCGATCCAAGCTCGAATTGTATTTCGGCGGATCTGGAAGTTACTTTTAGCCTAGTCGGGCCAATAGGCCCGCCCATATTCATCAAATACATTTACTTTATTATTAATTATCTAGCCACTAAAAATTTTAAAAAATTAAATGAACTATTCTTAAAAAAACTAATCATGTTTAACCTAGTATAATAGAGGTATTTGTGGAAAGATACCCATCATACTAGTTCATTAAATGATTATTGATGAATATGGGCATCTTTCCACAAATAGTCATTTTTTGATTTTCAATCATGTTTGTGTTAATTTGAGGGCTAAAAGTGTAATTTCACAATGATAATATATCTTTTTTGTCATACACAATTCCAAAGATTGTTCCGTTTACATCGTTTGTGAATTACAGTCGCTTTCTACTACAACCATAGTCTACAAATGTGGTCTTTCGTCTGAATTCTAGTCCACAATCATAGTCATTATTTTTGTGTTATTCGCTTAACCAATATCAGAACACGTCACTAGACATAATGTTGATGTCAAATTATGCTTTTAGCGTTTAAATTAACATCAACTTGGCGGAAGATAAAAAAAGGACCATTTGTGGAAGGCACCCTTAAAAAAAGGACTACGGGGGTAATATTGATAATAGAAGACTAAATATGGAAATCACCCTGTTATAATGGACCAATTATGGAATTTACTCAAAAGTATTAGTGGGCGTTTAAAACCATTTCGTTGAGCTTGATTTAGAAGGTTTTGGAGTCATAACATAAAATCAGCATTTTGAAAACTCTCTCAACGAATCAAATAGTTGTAGGTAGCGTCATGCTGTGGTAGCTACCATCGCACAATAGTGGACAATACCGTCATAGGTCAAATTACACTAAAAAGTTACAGCCACGATCGGTATTGAGGTCTTGGCTCACTGTAGTGACACAGTAGAAACGACAGTGAGCAGTACTAGATGACCAAAAATCAGGACTTTTTATCTTAGCCCAAATTCTTTCCAATTTTGTTTAAAACTTTCTATGTTTGAAAATGATTCAAAGAATGTTTTAAACACATTTTGTGAGTGCATTTTGAGTATGTAAATATAAGTATATAAAATCACATTCTTACATTTATTTCTACTTAAATTATACACTAGCTTGATATTTCAACTTTGTTATCGAGAACAGATACTTGGCAATTCTTGTCATTTTTGAAACACTTAAACAAATGTTAGCTCATATATTGTTTCTTGATATCAAAACACGAGATTTAGCAAATCAAGGTTAATAAAATCTTGCTCGTGGGAGCTTAGCCCTCCAAATTTTGTTTCTTTCATTTTGATGAACTAATAGATTGGTCTGTTTTACTTTTAAAAAGAGTAAATTCCTTATATGATCCTTTATAATTGGGGATTTTCATAATTAGTCCTCTACTAATTATTTTTTTGTCCATATTAATTGAGTACACTTCCAAGATTGGTCCTCTGTCAACCCTTCTGTTCCATCTTTCCTAAATACAGGGCTACTATTGTACTCTCACTATACTTCTCTTCATGCTTCAAACTTCATACACACACACACATATATATACACATGTATGTATATATATACACACACACATACATACATATGTGTGTGTGTGTCGAGATGTAGGGCAAGACACAGAGTAAGACGACGACGCAGAGCAAGACGATAGATACAAAGAAGAAGGATTGTGGCTCTTCCAAGAAATTGGAGCTCTTCAGTGGCCTTCTCAGCTCGTTCTCTTCTAACTCACTTGATGTTTGTTTGACTAATCGGTCAATTTCCATTGTCTTGTCCACATTAAAATAAAATAGAAAATCATCTAGTTCTTCATCTGTGTCTTCAAACACCTCATCAACCATTGATTCAGATTCAAAATCTTGATCATATAGGTCTTCACCAACACTATACTCATGAGTAGTAGAGGTCGCATTTCCATCCCCTATTACCTTCGTTGTAACCACACAAACTTCAATCGCAGCAGGTAAGTTATCTACTGCAATTAACTACAATGCATCGCTATCGCTGACTAACTCCTTTAGTCCATTATCACTTTGAGAGTATATACTAATATCTTTCCAATTTTGAACCCAAAATCCTCAATATGTGACTTTATTAGCATCATACCCCATTCATCAAACGATGCTTTAGGAATAATTTTCACAAAACCATCAACTTATCTAGGAAGTAGGGGTGAGCATGGTACGGTATTTAGCTCGTACCGATACCGTACCAAATATTTCGGTTCGGTATGAGATTTTACTCTGTACCGATCCCGATCCCGAAATATCGGTTCGATATGGTTCGGGATGGTTCGGTACCGGTTTCGGTACAAATCAGGATGAATATACATACCTACTTTACACATTAAAATTTAACAACGTCCCTTTATTTTTGAAAATTAAAAGTCAATTTAAATAAAAAACATGAAAACGTAAAAAAAATGAATATTTAAATGCAAGAGATGCGTATCAAAACTTAGTTTATATTTCACAAAATAAAAAAATGAACGACACCAAAGAAGTATTTCGAATCTTTGTGAATACTTTAATGTTCATACACAAAAAACTAAAACTCAAATAAAAATATAATTTACACATAATAGAACTTGAACCATTTTTTTAAAAAATTATTATTTAGTGAAGGAATATAAAAATATTACATCGGGGTATTATATTTTACTCCCTCCGTCCTCTAGTTTTTGTCCACATTTGACTTTTGGAACTGTTCATCTAAGCACTTTGACTCATCAAATTCTCTCAATGTGTAAGCCTAAATATAGTCATGTGTGATCTTGTTTGATTTGTCTTAACATATAGATTATTAATATATAATTTCTATAATTTTTTAATATACAAATTACAAGATATAATGGATTAAAAAAATGCATTGGATGGTGTGTAAAAATGAAAGTGGACAAATACTCTGGGACGGATGGAGTATAATATTTTAGTATATATGTTCGGTTCGGGATTTTCGGTATGGGACGTCACCTCGTACCGTTCCCAAACACCGTACCGACCATTCGGTTCGGTACGGTTTGGTTCCTTCTCGGTACTTTTTCGGTACGGTATTTTTCGGTTCGGTATTCTCGGTTTTTCGGTAAATTTCGGTATCGGTTCGGTACTTGCTCACCCCCACTAGGAAGTGCACCTCCCATACTTACAGATAGGGGTGTTCAAAAATATCCGATCCGAAATATCCGTCCACGATCCGGGCCGATTCAATCCGAAAAATGGATATCCGATCTGATATTTTAGCTTTCGGATATTTCGGATCGAATACCCGAGAAAAATCGGATCGGATATGGATTCACTTTCTGAAATTTTTCAGATAATCGGATATCCGATTTTTTTTTTTGCTATATGTTTTTGGAATTTTATGGATATATATTATGACTATATGTTTAAATGTAATTTTATATTGATTTTGGAACTAAACCATTTTGGACTTTTTACATTAGCATTTTAGAATCTTTTGTTTTAATAGTGTTATTTTTTGTTTGTTTAGGCAAAATTACCAAAGTTACTCCCAAATTAAATTTGGTATCATTTTTTTATTAGGCCATTACCTAGTGGTGGAATTTTTCTTTTAGTAAATCTATATTGAATTTGATATTTTGGGTAGATTTTGCTATTTTACCTTTTTCTTTTATAAATTTTGGCTAAAAACTCAACTTTTCAGATAATCTAGTGATCCGATCTGAAAAATCGGATATCCGAATATTTTCGGATCGGATATGGAATGAGTTTTACATGATCCGAAATTTTTGGATATCCGAATTTTCGGATCGGATCGGATCGATCCGATTGAACATCCCTACTTACAGACCCGCCAAACATAAACTTTAGTTCATTAGTATTCAGTTATTCGAAAATAAATATTTTGTTACTCAAAATTAAATTTATTTTACAATGTACATGCACCAGGTGCGAACTCATTTTTGTATCTCCCTCAAAGCTACAGGGGTCTGGTACGGGACGACTGATAATGGACGAAATGAGCAAAGGCAGCGATGGTTGGACGGCGGCCATCTCGAATATATCGGAGATAGCGGTTGATCTCGACTCCCTCCAGAAATTGATCGTCAAGAAAGCTGTTTATGTCAACGAAGACACCTACGCAAAAGCCCATCTCACCTCCGAACAAGCCCGAACTATCAAGGTACGATTTCCCCCATATCTGGATCTGGACATTTTTCTTCAGTTCATTGGCAATATCCCCGAATGCTTTGACCGATTTTCCATTGGATTTGATCGATATTGTGATTAGGATTTAGAATTGTGATGCGATTAGTGTGAATTATGCTGGAGAAGCAGAATAAATTGGGGGTGATAATTATCAGATCCAAGCAGCATGATTTTTGGGATCTGCGTTAGAAATGCATCAGTAATTATAGAAACCTGGATCGATTCCTGTTTTAAAATTCGATTTTAATATGTTATTGAGCTCAATTAAGCTCAAATGAGGATTTGGATCTTAGTAGATCCCAAGAATAAGAATACGAACTTCAAGCTTAGTGTGTTTCTAGGATCAATTTGATTCATGTCTATTGTATGAATGAGTTACTCATATTTGCATATACAATGACCTTAAATCCTTAATGGGGGCACCGATTTCAGAATATGTAATTGGAATTTCTACATTCTGTAGTATTTGTTGTTTAGTCGAAAGTACTCAGTAAATGGATTGTTTGAAGAAGTGTCACCTCTGCAATCATAGGTTCTTGAGCAGAGGGTAGATACTTTAGAACGTGAACTAGATTCCGCCATTTCAGCCGCCGCACATGCAAGGACAGAGAAACGGCAGGCTGAGGTAGCACAGAAGGCTGCGGAACTACGGGCACAAGAGATCACGAAAGAGCTTGAAAACACCACAAGTATGCATTTCTTTTTCTTTCTTTTTTTGGCACAACATGTATTTGAGGAACTCTATGAAAATACTTTTGGAACATAGGTGTTGTTTTCTTAGCTCTACACAACAATTTGTGATTTTGTGCTATTGCTTCATCTTTGCAGAGGTTTTTCTTTACTTCATAATTTTGCTTGCCTATTTGTTACAGGGTGAAAGTATGTGTGTCCTGATTTGCAGGGCCGGTCCCGAAAAATGAAAAAATAAAATTGGCCCGGTCCCAAATTTACATTTTGTGCCCTATTTTATATTTTTAGAATACTTTTACTTTAAAATTATTAACAAATTTAAAAATATGGTGCCCTAAATTTTAAGGGACCCTGTGCGGTTGGCCACTTTGCACACCCTCCGGGCCACCCATGCTGATTTGGGTTGAGTCAGGTTTGAACCATTTTTAGCGGGTCATTTCTCTTCAGTCATCTTTGAGTTCGGTTAACAAAATCTTTGTTCGAAGCCTAGTATTTTCAAGTCAGGCATTGGGCTTGTCGGGTCAATCTCTGCTAGGTATATCTGCTAGACTGCTATCTAGCCTTTTTTGGCATATCTCTTATCCATCTCCTTATTGTTTTTCTCCCCCCGGTTCGTTTTTAGTGTCGGGGTATCTTTAGGGTAAAGGTAAGGTCCGCATACATTTAGCCTCCCCATACCCCACTTGTAAGATTTACTAGGCTGTAGTCGTATAATAAATTCCACATGTTGACTCCTATGGATGACAATTATCACATGATTATGGATGTGCTGAAAACCATCTAGTTTTGTTGTTCCTAGTGCTTGTCTTTAGACAACACTTTTCTGTTTGAGTTATTTTCAGTTTTCCTTGAACTTGCAGACGTTTTCAAGCTGCACATGGAAGAGTTACGAGCAAAGCAAGAGGAGATTGCAAAGCGTGATAAAGATATCAAACTCCTCGAAGCTATAATTCAGACGCTCGGGGGCAAAGACTCACTACCTACCCGTGACTAAACCAATGTATCTTCTCACTATGTAAATTGCAAATAATAACGTATGCGAAAATATATTGTATGTAGTATTCATTTCTTTACACACTCACATTTGATAGGATTGACCGAGATCCAAATTTGAATCGATCTAATTCAAAATCAATTTTTTTAATTTGGATTTAGAATCAAATAATTATGCCTCGGATTGGATCTACTTTGAAGTCGGACCATATTGTCATTCCTAGTTTAAACATGACTTTTTCCATTAAGAGAATAATATGGAGCACCGTAGCTATATGACGACGACTTGTTATCAGTTTTGACTCTCTTCTTCGTCTTGCTTCGAATGGCACCTTTCACGCCGCCATGTTCTCAAGATCCTTTATTAGCCGAGACTATTGCTTGCAGAAAGGCGTTGTCTTGGCATAAAGACAGAGGCATTCGGAGTTTAGAGTTGCTCTTGGACTCTTTATAGGTGGTAAATGTTATCTATAGGCGTATACGGAGCACATCCTGTCCTAACCAATGAGAAATCGGAGGGGTACACCGCTTCTCGGCATTTGAAGAAACATTCCTCCTGCGGAGACATATGTTTTGATACCATATTGAGGAACCAATTCAACCAAAAAATCAAACTTATGGAGCAATGCGCACTGCTTTTAGGCTCGACCTTGGGCTCGAGGCTAATCTGTATTGAGAGACCTCCATAGACATCTACAAAGCACATACAGATTGATTGATCCTGCCTTAACAGATGAGGTATTGGAGGTATTAACTGCCATGAGTCCTCTTGGCATTTGAAGAAACGTGTCTCATGTAATGTCAAGAACTAACTCACCCAAAAGCTCAAACTTATATTGTTGTAGGCCTAGAAAAGGTTTAATACTCTAGCACATCTCCTCACATGCAGACGAGATTTATCTTTACTCGAACCTTACACGTGAATATTAAGTTATTAAAATTGGGTAGTGGTGAGATTTTAGCTCGTGACTTTTTGGCCAACAAGGCTTGATACTATGTCAAAGAACCAATTCAGCCACAAGCTCAAGTTTGTGGTTGTGGCCTAAGAAAATCACAACTAGAATACAGGAATATTGGTTGGGTTTTCTTGCCAAGCCTTGTAAAAACTTTGAGAGATTAATACTTTCTCCGTCTAAAAAAAAATCATTTTTGGGACATCCCAAAGAAAGTCTCCTCTTTCTTTATTTGAAAAATTTCGAGTATTTTTTAATCTTTCTCTTTCCACCACATCACTTTCAAGTTTCAACTCTACATCCACTTAGTATAGTACTCCGTATATAAATAGTCAAGTGCTCTCTTCTGAATTTTTAAAATTATGCAATATTTGTATCAACAACGGTTTATATAATCTTATAACTGAAATTAAAAAAAATGCACACCTAGTTTCATTAGGTAAAAAGTTCACTTACAAAACTCCGAAAGCATGTAAGTTCAAAATTAATAATACCAAAAAAGGAGAATCTACACACACAAAAAAAGTAATTCATTATAGACTGGTTTAACTTGGTCCTCTGAAAATAAAATTAATATCAGCATAAAATCTTAGAAACAAAGACAATTTTCTGGTTGTGAGGCAGTTTCTGTTGTAGGAATACATTGACTATCAACAAAAACAATATCGTTCCGAGACACGATACCTGTGTATGCTCATCATCTTTTACTTCTGTTTCTTCTTACGATCACCGAAGGTTGGAAGTGACAGTCTTTTCTTGGCAAATGCTTGAGTTTTGCTTTCAGATTCCTCATCGTCCGTGTCGCCCTTTTCTTCAACCTTTTGATCTGCAGGGGCCTTTCTGTCAACTTTCTTTTCTTTAGCATTCAGTGTACCACGCAACTTTCTTTCTATGGGATCGTTTGAGCGAACATATGTGGGCCCCCGGGGAACTGTAGCACCAATTCCAAGCCTGTGAGATAGAGAGAAGCTTGGGGTTCAGGGGATTCGAACAAGGGAGAGCTACCTAACTAGGAGTAAGACATGCTCCATATACCAAAATAGGACGTTCAATGATTTTACACCAAAATAGGACTTATAATGCCCAAGAGTAATGCCAAGTCGTGGCATGGCACAGTCCCAACACTCTTATTTAGGGGATAAAAACATAGGAGGTCCTATTTTGGCATAACTTTAATCGTTATACCAAAAGACACTAACCTAGGAGGCCGTGCCTCTAGAATAGCCGCATTTGATTTATCATCGTCCAATGATTTACCCATGTTATTAACCCATTGTTCGGCCTGCAATCAGTCATTCAAAACAAGCAAAAAGAAAAAAAACAATGTGTTCTTCGTTAGCAACTTAAGATATGAAAGAAACTATAAAACTAGGCATAAATTGGTTTATACATGTGAATCTGCAGACCAATAGCATAAACCCCAAAGCAAATAGACAGAGGCTATAAACACTGCAAAATCATTTCAATAACATTTGCAAGAAAATCAAGAATGACTTTACCAATTTGAATCCTCTGTCCAACTTTACCAATTGAGCTCGTGATGTTTTCTTTGACGTGCCTTCTGTAGTCATCCCAATTGTTTTCTAACCTAATCAACAAGGCACCCGCAAATGAATTTCTGTCTATATAAAACATTCTCACTCAATCTTGTAGAAGGTGTAAAACCAGACAAATATATAGATGAATAGAACTATGGCTCTATGCATGTAAAACACACACACACACACAGTACAAACTCACAAACATAAATACCCTCCAGGATACTAATTTTATCCCGGAGACCAATAGAAATCAATAATAATCTTACACTATGCATATAGAATACATCCTTACACTTGGCAGCACCAACCTTTCATTTTTCAGAACGGCTTATTATAACATCATCACTAATGGTAGCAAAAGCATCTCTCTCCATGTATGTAACTAGACAATCACTTGATCATATTGTTTGACAAAAGAAGCATAAATACTTTGTTTTGGTTCACTAAATTTTCACCCCTTTTTACTGAACTAAAATGCGAGCTATTTGGTCCACCGACATGAATGTCAAACCTCACTTTTTTGTTCCAACTCGTGAACCCACTTCCTACATGATGGTTTCCGCCCCAGTCACCCACATTTGTAAATAAGTAACATTGCAAACAAAATGCAGCATCTTTGGCAATGCTATATAACCTATATTCCAAATTCTGACCAAGAATAATTATCAAACCAGGATAAACAAATCTACGTCCTTTTTTGATCCATTAGTTTAAAGGGAAATTCATAGTTTCAGTGACCATTTGTTTAAAGGGTAAATGGGCAATTGATAGTTTTGGTGATAATCAATAGGTTCTCTTTTGTAAGTTGTAACCCCAGATGAGAATCAAGATTCGCTTCACACTGTTTGTCAATTCTCATTCAAAAGGATTTCAAATTCACCAACACTATGTTTGGTTCAAGGAATCTGGGAGGAAAAGAAAATAAAATGATTTTCTCTCTTTTTCCTCATCAAAATGAGAGAAATTTGGTTTTCCCTCCTCTTAGTACATTTTGCCTTCTCATTTTCTTTTCCTTCCACTTTCTCTTTCTTTTCCTCTCTAACCAAACAAGAAAAACTGTTTTCCACTTCATTTTCTTTTCTTTTCCCATTCAAATTCCTTGAACCAAACATAGTGTTAATGTTTTCCTCTAACAATTGATTTAAAGGCTACTAAGCATTCAAATTCAAGTTAGAAGGATCCTCACTTGATTCAACCTCTTTGGAACTTAGCATATTTTTAAAATACCTTTGCATCCTAATTTTAAAAATGAAAAATAATGCGTTTAATTAACATTTTAATAATTAATTTAATTAAAAAAAATCATTAAAATTTGATAGTGAAATCTAAGGATTGTCACATTGTCAGCAATAGTCTTATTTTGGGATAAAAACATGTAATTCCTATTTTGGAGATAAAAAAGCTATGTTTTACCCCTATTTTGGTGATTTCTTTAAAATCAAACCTAATCAAAATTCATAGTTCACAAATCACAAATCCACAAATTACAATTTCACATAACACAATTAGCATATCAAAATTAATAAATATCAAAAACAATTTAACAAATAAGGAGAGTCTAAGGCCGGTGTACTCACCTTGATAGTGGCCAAATAGTGTTGACTGGGGCGGCGGCTGCAGGCTGAATTGTGGGCACTGGAGCAGCTGCCGGCAGAATAGCGAAATCTTGGGGCGGCTAACAGCTAAATCGCGGCTGAATGGTGCGGCGGCTGCGGATTGCTCGCCACCGTGCTCGGTGCTTAAGCGTCCGCCGCTCTTCAGTCGGCAGAACTTGAGAGACGGAAAAGATGATGTGAAAATTCACGAATTCCAAAAAAGAGAAAAGCTCAATAAGTTGGCAAATTATAGGGTACATCTTCCCTTAGGTAGAGCCTAGGGGTGTACATTAACACATCCAGACCGGAATTTAGACCTGAACCGGACCGGAATGGACCGGTCCGGAATTTTCAGGTCCGGTCTTCGGTCATCCAAAATTTAGGATTCTGGATTTCCGGTCCGGTCTGGTCTAAACCTGGAATTATCCGGTTTGGACCGGTATATAATAAAATATTAATTTTTTAAATAAATAGTTAATTCATTAGACCATTATCCTTTCAAATTTCTTCTTTTTTCAATTTTATTAGGCTCCTAGCATTATATCTTACTTAATTTCAATTTTTACTTTAAGTATTTTTTATTTAATTTTTTTCTCTTAAGTTTGAACTTTGGTTTGAGATTTTTTTCCATAGATTTTGTAGTGTTATGAACTTATGAATTTAACAATTGCCCTCCCAGGTGAATTGTTATTGTTATAAATTTGGGGATTGATGGTATTACATATATATTTACATATACCATTTAGATATGATTTTTTTATAATGAAAAATAGGTCATTTATGTTTAAATTCCGGTCCATAATAGGGTAAACCCGGACCGGACCGGAAAATTCAAGTCCGGACCGGTATCTAACAGGTCCGGTCTTCGGTCCTTGCAAATAGAGAATTCCGGTTCCGGTCCATTCCAGTTCCGGTTTGGTCTGGTCCGGTTTTGGACCGGTGCACACCCCTAGTAGAGCCTGATATTTTTATAAATTTTAAAAACTTTTTATCCAATGCCCAGAACATATATATGAGAACTATTATATATGACAATGAATACCAGCAGATTTGAGGAGTACCAGCAATTATGAGAATTATCATATTCTAATTCAATACAAACATGAATAAACTTGTATTTTAAATTCTTCATGCTCAGAGAGTATAAATGAGTAGGAACGAATCGAATAGAGTAAGAAGTTGATGATGATACTGAACTTTTTAATTGTGAAAAATTTGAACAATACTTTATTTTACAATGAACATTTCCTTATTTAAGAATGAGTATTGTTTTTTTAATAATGAACACTACGCTATTTATAATAATTATATTAGACAAATGTGTAAAAATGATTACTTCTTTATTTTAAAATGAGTACTACCTTTGCCAGAATGAGTACTACGTATTTCGAAATGAATGTTAATATTTGTACGAGAATGAGTACTACTTTATTTCAGAATGAATACTACCAGGATGTACCTATTTCTAGGTACATCCGGATGTATCATGTACCAACTCCAATAAGTTGGAGTAAAAGAAAATAAAAATACTCCGCATCAAAATAAGAATAACTACTACCACAGTACCACCCAACCAACTGCCAACAAGTTATTTTTTTTGAAAGAATATAAATTTAATTATATAATTTTGTTTAATATTTATTTTTACTCAAAATAATATCTACTAATTTGGTTTTAAAATGCTTCATAACATTGTTATTAGTACTCAAAAAAATGAAAAAAAATAATATCTTGCATTCCAATCTTATTTTGAACTAGACAAAAGTTATACCGGTTCATAATTTTTGGAGGCCAAATAGCGCCAGTACCCCCCGTAGTTTGCAAAATAGGCACCAAAACCCCCTTTGTTTTCAAAACTTATTTCTAAAGTCCTTGTGGTTTCAAAATGCTGCACTCGTGCCCCCTCTGATCATTTTCCGGCCATATTTCCGGCGAAGAAGGGGGGCATTGCTGCATATTTACTAAACCACAGGGGGTATCGGTGCTGATATTTATTTCTCGCTTATTTTTTTGTTTTTTTTCATTTTCTCCTTTATTTGTTACTTTTATTAATAAAGGTTTTTTAAAATTATTTTTAAATGCTCATAAAATTTAAAGTTATTTTTGTTTGAAAAAATTAACATATAACGTGTATGTACTTCTCAAATCAACAATTTTTGTTTTTTCTGAAAAAAGTAAACTTTTTTTTTGGAGAATTTCAAAAAAATGACGAATAAAATAAGAAACAAAATAATAGAAAAATAAAAATGAATATCTTTTTCGAACATCTCAATTCTAAGGACTTTTTTAGGCTTGTCCATTTTTTGTATCAGACTTTTTTTGTGTACTTTTTTTTTCATTTTATTTTTCCATATTTTTATTTTTTATTCTAGGTTTTTCTTTTTGAACTTTCCAAATAAGTACCTAACAAAAAGTGAAAATGTTTAATTTCAAATAGATGCAATGTATATTAATTTTCTTATTTTTATTTTTATTTCAAAAACAAAAAATTTTAAAATTTTAAAACATTATAAAAAAATTGAAAATAAATTAGAAAAAAACTAGGAAAAGCAAAAAGAGATAGAAAATATTTAAAAAAAGAAAAATACAAATAATAAACGAAAAATAAAAAATGAGCACGAATAACCCCTATGGTTTAAAAATTATGCGCAAATGCCCCCTCTTCGCCGGAAAATGGCCGGAAAATGATCAGAGGGGGCATGGGTGCAGCATTTTGAAACCACAGGGACTTTAGAAATAAGTTTTGAAAATAGAGGGGGTATTGGTGCCAATTTTCTAAACCACAGGGGGCACCGGAGCTATTTGGCCAATTTTTGGACTAGAAACCACTGACATAGAAAACAACGAATCTAGTCCAAAAATAAACAAATTTTTGGGCTGTCATGTTTTCTAGTCCAACCCGGATTGCTAGTGTGTCTACAAGATAGTATAAGCTTGGGCACGATTACAGTCCAGGTCAATTCCGATTCTGGAACAGCCGATTCCCAGTATTGTAGGGCTGACACTGCAGCGGTGATAACCGCTACAGTCTCGATTTGGTTCCTGGTTTCATTCTGGGGATTGGTTTTAGGTTATTTTTTAAATTAGTTAACATTAATTTAACATTGTGAATTTTTTGTATTTGGAATTAAGAAAAAAATCAAACATTAAATTCTAATCAAATTATTCATGTTTGAAATGGTAACCTTAAGATATTTCAAAATTCAAATTATTCAAATTATTTATGTTTGATATTGGAAATGTAAAAGTGTACGGAGAAAAATTGAAATGTAAAACTGTAAATTGAAGTAATTAAAGTATTTAAAATTTTAAAATATTTTGTCAAGTTTAGTTTCCACTTTAGTACTTTACAAACTACGGAGTACAATTTATCAAATTAAGCAAAAGATTTAAATTTGACTACAATTTTACATAAGTATATAATATTTAATACTCCCTCCGTCCTAAAACTTTCTTCCCACTTCCCCTTTTTCCCCGTCCTAAAACTATCTTCCCATTAGAAAAAAAAGATGACAAATGACATTAATACCCTCATGTATTTACACCAATTATCTTCTAACTCTATATTTTGAATGATTGCAAAAAAAAAATTCAAAAAATCTTTTTTAAGGAGGTAAAATTTGAAGTCAAAGCTAAAAATTAAAAATGGGGAAAAGTCAAACTGGGAAGAAAGAATTAGGACGGAGGGAGTATTATTTAAGGCTATTCTCTTGATTAATGTGCAGTATATGTTCATAATTTTTTCAACCTAATGGCAAATAGTGAAACAATGCTTTCGCCACCGTTGGGTTTGAACTTGGATGAACTTCTCCATGAATCTTGAAGAGTTGGTTTCCTACCATTCAAGTTTAATATTTAATATTTCAATTGAACTATTTGTCGTAACATCCACTTCTCTATATGATTATAGCTTTCATGAAATACTTTTCATCGAATGCGTAACGTGCTTCTTACATTTCTTGTTCTCGAGTGCTTTTTATATTTTAGAACGAGTCTCGGTTACACAAATATTTAAATGTCTAACGAGTGCTTTTTGCGATTGTTTTTTTCCATGGCAAATATTAGCAATGGAGTTGCTCTTGCTCTTTTTCCGTAGTAAATTTTTACAACGGAAAATGTAGTCGCAAATTTCTGATGCAATATGTTGCAACGGTAATACCGTAGCAAACTGTGGCAACGGAATGACTGTTGCAGTTATTACGTAGCAACAACGGGCAACGGCAATTCTGTTGCAACAATTTGATGCAAACATACTGCAAAAAAATTCTGTTGCAGAAGTGAAATTGCAACAATGATTTTTGCTACAACACAACTGCAACGAAACTCCCGTTGTAATCACCATTAGCAACGGAAATATTTAAAAAGTGCAAAGGAAACTGTCGTTGCAATTACGTCATATTCTTGTAGTGAATATGAAGATACATATTTCAAAAGGAGTCTAAGGGGGGTGTATTCAATTCAGAGTTTAAAAGATTTTGATAGATTTGTTAGAATCTATAGATTATATAAAATCAAAAGATTATTTTAAGTTTACACAAAATTAGAAAGATTTTATTATAGATTTTGATAGATTTGTTAGAATCCATTTACTTTTTTTTCATTCTTCTTTGTTTCTCAGCCTGACTCCAATTGTTTTTCTTCCCCTTTCCTACGCCCCCTTCTTCTTCTCCTTTCTGCTTCTTTTTTCTTTCTTTCTTTCTTTTTCTTTCTCCTCCTCCTTCTTTCCTCCTCCTTATTTCTCCTTTCTTTATTTCTCTTCTTTCTCCCCTCCTCCTTCTATTTATTCTTCTTCTTTCTCCTCTTTCTTCAAATTCCCCTTCTTCTTCCCCGTCTCCATCCCCGTCCATCTTCGTCCCTGCCGCCGACGGCGAGCCTATGTCCTTCATGGAAGGATTGAATCTGGCTTCCTTGGCTTCCTTCCCTCCTGGAAGGATTGAATCTGGAACGGGAGCTAAAGACCAGAAAGATTGAGAATCTGGCTTCCTTCTTAGAGCTCCGCGGAAAGAGAGGAGTCGTGCAACGAATTGAAGAAGAAGATGAGAAGTTGAACAAGAAGATGAGAAGTCGTCTCCAGTGCTATGCCGACGGATCGGAAAAGAAGATGAGAAGTGGACCTAGTTAGTGCGGAAGAAAGTCTGACAAAATCCTAGGGTTGTTGGTGGGATTTCAAATCTAGAATTATATTAATAAGTAAGGCATGAAAATCCATTGAAATCCATATAATTAAAAATCTTTACAAATCTATCAATTTTTGAATACTGTCATATTTCGAAGGATTTTTTTAAATCTGGATTGAATACAGTCATATTTTAAATGATTTTTTAAAATCTGAATTGAATACCTACACATTTTAAAAATCCAAAACAATCTATCAGAATCCTGATTGAATACACCCCCATAAGACTTTTAGGAAGTTTCTATATCTTAAAGTGATTTGTTGTCCAATAAGACTTGAACTTGGGGGATGCAATTGAAGGGGTTGGGAATGTATTCGGGTTAGGTGGGGTGGGAGGGTTTTACCGGAGGTATAGTGAGGTAGGAACCGTCAATTTTACGAACGGGGCACCGTAGTGCCCCCAGATCATCTCATGACACGAGGTTTCAATATCATGGGAACTCCTCCGTTCTTCTTTCAATGTTTAAAAAGTGTACATTGCATTATTTTACATTATATTTCTAAAGTAATTTTGAAATAGCATATTGAAATATTTGTACTAAATAGCACTAAACCTTAAGTCATTTTTCTAAATAGCACTTAAACTGTTTTATTTTCTAAATTGCACTTAATAATGTCCATAAAGTTCGGTGATGGTGAACATTTACTTGAATAATGACTAATGGATAATGATTAAAAGTGCTACATTGGAAAAAAACACAAGTGATGCTATTTAGGGAAAGTTATTATGTTTTAGTGCTATTTACGTAAATTCTTCATAGCAGATTTGTATAAATTTTTCAATATTTACACGATCAAATTATATATTCTTTATTTACACATTTTTATTAAATTAGTGACCATTTATTTTGTATACTTATTTATAATTTTTTTTAATATAGTATTTTTATTTTTTAACTTTACAATAATTTTTGAATATTTTAAATTAAAAACAACATCAATAAAACATCATAAACCAAAAAAAATTTAATTTTTTGACTGGAGAAATACTTAACTAGGGATAAATCATACTTCATATATCAAAATAAGACTTATTTTTTCCTCAAATGAAACTTAAAATGTTAATTTTTTTTTCTAGACATAATGTCAAACATACTATGAAATATCATCATGAAATGCCAAACTATGGGCGTTAAAATGTGAAAATCCTCCTATTAGGGATTGCAATTTGTACCTAACTTGACGGATACTCGATGCACCCGATCCGCTCTCATTGATAAAAATCCGAAGAAAAAGTATGATGGACGGATGATGGATGGACTATTGGTGGATCGGGTCAGATGCATCACTTGACACATTCATATTTATTTTAGAAAAAACTAAAATCGTATTTGATACTTGATACATATCGTATCGTATCAACAATTTGACTAGTGGGAGATATTTGATACATATCGTATCAACAGGTGCTTTCATTGTTGATCTCATGTCTTCTTCAATGCCTTCTACCAACCCCAAATAGTCGTCGTTGACTCTTGAAGACGTGATGCATGTGCCATAGCGGACCTCATAGCCAAACTACACGCCACCAAAATTCGGGTCGCTGAGATAGCGATGTGGAAACGCCCAGTTACAGATAAAGGGCGACGTAATCCTTCTCACTCTAATCTTGGATGGCATCCTTTGCCATCTCGTACTACGCCACCGCAGTTGGACCCCGTTCCACGGATGCGCGTGGGTGTCTCGAGGTTTTCCAGTGATAATCCCACTAGATGGATATTTCGGGTTTAGAAGTATTTTGACTATTTTCATAGACGCGAGCCCAAACGTACTCTGTTAATCACCATGTTGATCGATCACCCGGCGTCCGAGTTGTTCCACCACTATCAGGCGAATAATTGCACGACATCATTGTCAAAATTTTTAGGGGCAGTTCGTCAGCGTTTCGATCCCACTTATTATGAGAATTATGTGGGTCTATTGTCCAAGTTATCGCAAACTACCACTGTTATGGACTATCAATCTGAATACGAAGCCATACTCAACAAGGTGCCAGGAGTGCCAGAATCCAGCTTAATCGCTATGTACGTCGCGGGTCTCAAACAACCTGTGCAGCGGGAGGTCAACCACTGTAATCCCACTACCCTTCTGATGGAATTCACCTTGGCGAGGGAGCTTTCCGCATGCCACCAAGAGGTCGTCACAACGTACGACAGTGGGTCATGCCGTGCTAGGTCTACGCGCTTGCCTCCATCAATAGGCGAGGGAATTTTACCGATGCTGCCTTCGTATGGTTGTCAACCTCTCGCAACCAGCCACAGCAGAGACAAACCCGCAAACCTTCTGATTGCTTATTTGACAAATGCTGAAAAGGTGGAACGTAATAAGAAAGGGTTATGTTGGTATTGTGATGAGAAGTGAGTTCTGGGACACAACTACAAGCGTCATTTTCTACTACTTATGGGACGTGACGAGGATGACGACTCTCCGCCTTGAGGACAAGTTTGGTTCTAACCCCAGGGGAGTTGATATGGGCTCAACCGAGGATGTTAAGAAGCGGTAGAAAGTAGCGGGACATCCACAAAGGAATGTCGGGCCACCCCGGTGCTATCAATACTACATTTGATATGATTTATTATTATTCTGTGTAATGTAGTGTTTTAAGTGAGTAAATTATAAGCTTCTTCGAGGGTTTCTTTTCAGTTCTTTACCTCGATGCTTTTTTTAACCGACAAGATAGACAATTAGTAATTAGGGTTTGGGGAAACATATCAGCTATAAAAGGACGATATGTAAGCCTTCGATAGGTGAAGAATAATAATAGGTAATTTACCTAAATAGGATTAAAACATAATGACTTTCTCAATATAGGACGATATGTTTTTTATTTCCCAATGTAGAACCATTGGTCATTATCTATTACTCCCTCCGTTCCTTTAAACACTTCCTATTTTGACTTTGGGCCAAAATAAGGAAAGTGTAATTTTAGTTGACTTTCCAATTTTGCCCTTGATGTAATGGGTAAAAGTAAGATGTGATAGTTTAGTTATTAGTGAAAAAGTATGATGTGATAGGTAGGGTATGAAAAAGTAGGGGTAAAAGTGGTTTTTTAATAAAAAGTTGAAGTGTTTTAGGGAATTGAAAAAAAAACGAAAGAGGAAGGGTTTTATGGAACGGAGGGAGTAGTCATTATTCAACTAAATGTCCAGCATCACTTGGACATTATTCTTCTCACTAGTCATTATTAATTCCTATTTATGGAATAAAAAATTTTAAATCCTACATTGAAAAATGACTTATGTTTTAGTCATATTCAATGCAAATGTCACAATAATAATAAACTCCTTTTCCCCTACACTCTTTTCTCCTAACCTTAAATTCTCTCATTCCTATGTCTGTCTCTCTCTCCACCGCTGCACGAACTCATTCGGCACTCTTCCTCTCTCAACAATTTGACGCTAGAGGGAGATATTTGATACATCTCATATCAGTTTATCAGATATTTATAGGGTGGCAACAACAATCGTAATTGGAGGAGGAAGGAGATGGCAACGAAGAAGGTTTGAAGAGGGAGATATTAATGGGAAGAAGAAGAAGAAGATGGCGGAGAAAAAAGAAGTAGAGATCAGAGGAAAGAGATGAAGTATATGAGAGCACGGGCAAGTAACGAAATGGAATGCCACACGTTGACATGACACATTTCAACCAATAAAAAACAAACCAGTCAGCGTGTGGCAAGTGAGTGGAGTGGCATCTCGTGCAGTGACAAGTAACTGTTTTTGTTAATTTTTATGATTTTTTAATGCATTTTAATTATTAAAAATTATTTCATTTATCTTTTTTAAAATAGATGTACTCTTTTTAAAAAAAATTATTTCTTCTACAAAAAAAAAATTAAAAAAAATTAAAAAAAATACCTGGACTGCCTCGCGCCTCACACGCTTGGCGTGGAGGAACGCTAAGCCACGCGAGGCAATTTTTCCAAATCGGCTGATGTGGCGCAGCGAGCGAGGAAATGCCTCGCCGCTGCGCATGCTCTGAGATGTGGTAAAAAATACTTTACTTAAAAGGAAAGGGTAATTTAAGAAAATTTGAACATAGTGAATAGTGAGGGCAAGAAATTTTTTTGTTGGGAGGTTTCCCTCACATCGGAAAAGAAACAACAAAGTGTCCAACAACATTTAAGTTCCATGCATGGTCTCTCCTCCTATCGCCAATTGATTTTAGGATGAAACTCTCATGGGCTTGCGTGTTGAGCTTGACACGTAAGTGCGCATGAATCGACGTGTGTACCCCAACGCTATGATGGGCCCACTGAACTTTTATCATTTCGGTGTGAAAGGGTATGAAAAGACAAACAACAATGTTACTTGTATATTGGTATACCATTTTGCACAAAATTTTAGTACAAAATTGACATTACCCTAGTACAAAGTTTTAGTGTACAAAATAGTATACAAATGTAGTATACCTCAAAAGACCAAGGGTCCTAAAGTATTGGTAGTGTCTTTTAGTTGGGGGTACTAAAGCAGATAAGTATTTGTGGTGAATTATATGAAAGACAAAAGGGTCCCTCAACAGTTGTCTCCTTTCTTCATCACTCAATGCTGCTTTGTTTCCTTCTCTGCACTCCCCTCATCCATTGCTCCTTATTGGTACTTACCTTCCCCACCCCCCACATTCTTCAATAATGCAATGCATTTTCTACCTCTCACTCTCTCTTGGATGAATTTCCCTTTTCTTAGCTCATTCAGTCTCTTGTGATCTCTTGAAATGTGCATATAAATATGGTATAGATTCACTTTGATTTGTACTTTCTCTCAAAATTTGAAGACTTGATTGATATCATCTTAAAACAAGCACTATTTTGTACTCCCTCCGTCCATAAATAAAGATCCCGTTGCGCGTTACGATGTTTGACTGTAGTTATTTTCAAATCATTTTATATGAAAAATGGTGTAAAATGTAAAAATAAAATTACATATTAAAAAATTATATCAAAATATCTACAGAACTAAATGTGACATGACTATTATTTTTTCAAATGGGTGATGAAAATAAGGCAACAAAGTGATTAAAATTTGACCTGTAAATAGTGAACGTGAAGTTTATTTGTGAATGTCTGTAAAAAAGAGTGAAGTCAAATATGGATATCTACTATGTATAAAAATAGTTCTATTTCGAATTTTTTCTTTTTTTTCGATAATGAGTATAAAAAAAGATAACTAATAAATTTTGAAACAGAACGACCAACAAAGTAAATTTTAAAAGCATACAAGATAACAACGTATATTTATCAAGTAAAAAAAGATACGGAGTATATGTCAATAAACTAGAAAAATAAATGTTTTTAGAAACACGGAGGGCCCACACAAAACGGATTGAATCCTGTGGGGCTTCAAATGGCTTAAGTAGACGCCAAGTTCGTTTAGTGTCTCAAAATATGCATAAATTACATTCAATTGCTCTTAGTACACTACTCCCACTATCTTGCATTTTCCGTCCGGGAACAATTTTTTGAACAACTAACCATCTATTTGATGAGCTTGGAATAATTGATATGTTAGATGTTTCAAAATTTGAGAAAAATGATACAATTCACCCTGAATAGAAGTAAAAACATAGATAAACTATTATATAGGAACTTCACGTCTTTATCTTCAAAATAGGAGTTCGCATTTCTGGGATTGTATATAGACATTTCATAATAGTTTTTAGTAATATATCTGGTCATGATAGGCACTGTAAATACATTTTAATTCTATTTCAGTAATAAAAATATGAAACTCTTATTTTAATATATTTTCAATACTTTTTCTTACTTTAGTTTTTTTCCCCAAATGATATAGATTCTAAAATCATACATAGTATTTTTTAGTGATTAACGAGACTCACCAACAATAGAAAATGATCAGTGGCAATGACAATGGTAACCCTTGGCAAGGGTACTTGATGGTTTAAGGAGATATCAAAAATTTATATTAATTTCTATTTCAGTAATAAAAACGGAAACTTTTATTTATTTGAAGGGTTTTTAGTTTATCGAAAAGTATTTTCATCAATTATTTGATAAAACAAAATATTTTTATTGCCCATTATTTTGAAAACTTTTGATGTGGTTTTTAAGAATTTAAATTTTATTTAATTTCTATACCAAATCTTTGAATAAAGTAAATTAAAAAAACTTAAAATTTTGCTTCATTTACTTTGAGTAATGTGACAAACATTTTGGTACGGACGGAGTATAAAAAAGTGTAGGACAATTTAACTCATGTATAGGACCTCTAGAACCAGTCGAACAATTTAAAGTTTAATTACAACATGACCAATAAAAGATGCTCTCCTTGTGCCACAAACTTCTTTTCTTTTTTCCTTTGTCCGAGTAAGTACATCCTATTTGTATTTAAAAAAAAATTATGGTTATTTTTATTACTAGTTCTTAACATATTTATGACATACCCGGAGTATATTAAAACTACTCTGAATCTCCCTTTTGGCATCCCTATAGATGAAAGAAAACCAGTTGTGGGCCCACATTCAGCCAACTCATACCCTATCTACTGCAACCACAGATCCATACCCGAAATGGCTTGAACTAGGGCAAAGGAAGGGAAAAATTAAGAGAAGTCCCACAGGCCTCAAATTACAGCACTTCAAACATTCGAGCATGACCAATTAGAGTGAAATGGTAGTGGTGGAGGGAGGGGGGCATGGACCCCACCACCTCCAAATAAACTTCACTATTTTATATTCTTTTAGGCTCCGTTTGGTACACTGTTTCACATTATCTCTATAATATCTGTTATATATTTTAGTGTAATTGAAGAAACTATGATCTATGGTATCTTAATAATCACCAAAGAAATTTGTTAGAATAAAATTCCCGTTTTAACGGGATTCCAAGGGGGCAGTGACCCCCTTAGTGGGGGTTCCAAGGGGCAGCGCCCCCAGGCAGGGTTCAAGGGGCGGTAGGGTTCATTTGAATTTTTATTTTTCAATTTTTCTTTAAGGGAAAAAAATGGGAAACGGATATCGTCTTTTTCTTTAAAGACTCGCGCTTAGGGCCGCGCGCTATTGGAAGAGATCCGACCGAATCTCAACAAACTCCCGCTTCTCATGCCCTCCGCGTCTATAAAATCTCGTTGTTCCATGGTCGCCAGTGGAGTTCGATTTTTCACAACAAATCAATACTTGTTCTTGATAACGTTGAGTTTTATCTGATTGAATTTTGGATTTTAATCTGAAAGTGTTCAACACGACTTTCGATTTATCCGCATTATACTTCTCGTCTATCCCCAACAATATCTCACCATCTGTACCATCCATCTTAAAAATTTAACGATTGTACTGTCAGAGACAAATATGAAAAGTAAACAATATTTTTACATTCGTCAAGAACGTAAATTTGTGATATTTTCTCTGTCAAGAATCTAAAGAGAGGGAGGGAAGGAGTATATATCATCTTTATGTTCCCCACCCACAAGATACCAGCCCTACCACCAACAATATTTCCAGCATTTCATGCTTAGCCCATGTGCCTTGACAGATACATTCCCATCTCACTAATATCATTCAAGCTGTGCAACATTGCAAGCCAAGCATAACTACTGAC